GTCCCCGCGCCGCCGCCGGGCCAAGAGCCGCGCGGCCGCGCGCTCGACGACAGCCCGCGCGGCGGCGGTGCGCGGCTGCGGGGCGGCGCCAAGGGGGAGGGGCTGGGGGAGGGGGCGCCACTGCTGCAGCCGCCGGGGGTGGGGGTTGGAGACTCGCTCGTGTGACGCGGCCAGCTGCAACGGCTGCGGCCTGCAGCAACGCGGCACAGCGGGCCGGCGGCGGCGGCGGCTGCGCCGGCGCCGCCGCTGCCGCCGCGGCGTGCGGCTTTGACCGCGCCGCAGCCGCCGCGCCCTGCCCAAGCCCCTTGGCAGCTGCGGGGCCCATCCCACCGTGTTTCCTCTCCTCCCATCCCGCCCCATGTTGTCACAATTCATCTCAGTTGTGCTGCTGAACCCCAATTCGCCGCCGCCGTCGTGCGGCGACGCCCTTTCTGACCGCCGCCGCCGTGCAAGCATTGCCCTTGGTCCTACGCAGCGTCCATCTGTTTGTCGCTTTTGCTTCACAAATTTTCCGCGCTACCTGCGCACAACTGCTGCCCTTTGACAAGACCCCCTCCGTCCCCGCGCCCGCCCTCCGCCCGCGCCCCCCCACAAAGCCACGCCCAGCCGCCGTGAACGGGGCGCTGGATCCCAGGCGCGGCCGCCGCCCTCTTCCCTCTGTGTTGCGCAGCCTCCAATCAGGCAGCTCGCAGGGGCCCCTTGTTGCCGCGCCGCGGCGCGCCGCCTCCCAAACTTTTTTCACGTGGGCGTCGCGTGGGACAATCCGTTACAACCGACCAATAGCCATGACGCCTGCATTGCAACAGTGCTAGGCCGGGCAGAGCCCCAGGCGGCCGCCCGCCGCAACCCCCGTGCGCGGCGCCGCAAAAAGCGCGCCAGCTTAGCTAGCACAGAAACAGCAATAGCATGAACTGTAAAATCGAATGGGCTTCACTGGACAACAAAACGGCGCCACCGCGCCCGCGCCCGCACCCACGCCAGCAGCCCGAGGGTCGAGGCTCCATGCTTTGGGGGGTGGAAAAGGGCGCAGCATGAGGAGCGCCCAGGCCGCCCGCACAGGCGCCCGTTCGCCGTCGCGTCCGTGGGGCGGGCAGGGACTTCGCACAGGCGTCCGGCCTGCGGCGGCACCTTTTGCGTGTTCACAATCGCAATTACACGGCATTGCGCCCGGCGCGTGCCGAGAGCAGAAGCCTGGAAGCAAGGCCTCGTGGGGTGTGCAGGGGAAAGGGGAAGCTGGAAAGACAGGCACCCGCGTGAAGCCCAAGGCCGGGGCGCCCGCCGCCACGCGCCCGGCCGCGGGTGTGCGGCCGCTGCAGCGCACGACTTGGTCGCGGCCATTTGGGCGCGGGTTCGTTCACTGCAATTTCAACGAGCTTCGTCGGGGATGTTTTGCACGCGCGCCGCCCCAAAACACTCGTCGTAACCAAAAAATCATGCACAGCGCAGTACAAACGATTCGCATCACTCAAGCAAAAGGAGCACGCGCCCGAGCCAAAGCGCCGGCGCGCCGTCGGCAGCCGCACGCCAACGCGCTTGCGCCAACGTGCAGTCGGGCGCCCCCAAAAGGGGGAGGGCCGCAGCGAGCGCGGCCCCGCGGTACCGGCCGGCCACGCGGGGCGCTTCAGGCGACCGCGGCGGCGGCGCTGCTTGGGCCTTCCGAACACACACAAAACAGGCCGCGCGCGTGAGAACAGGCCTCATCATCATGCAGGGTGCAAACAAGCAGAGATAGCAGATCCAAGCCCCGGCAAAGGGAGCCCCCAAACCCTTCAGCCGGGGCGGCGTCATGCCACCAGATCAGATCACAAGCTGCGCCATATCACTCAGATCACGAGATCACGCCAGCTGCACGCGGTTCAAAAGGATCAGGAACCGCCTGTCATTGGGCACCGACCACACAAACCCGACGCGCGCGCCGCCGGTGACCAGCGGGCTCGCCGCCGGCGAGAACACCAGCAGCTCGCCGTCGACCCACTTGGCGTTTGAAAAATTCGAATCGGCGATGCGGCCGCGGCCGGGGTAGCGGGCGGCGACGCCCATCTCTTCGGGGTAGTGGCCGCGGGGGTCACCCCTGTGGCGGCGCCCCACCTTGGCCCGGAACGACACCTGCAGTTGTGGTGTTTTGGGGGGTGGGTAAAGGTGCAGGGGGTTGTGAGGGGTGAGGAGAGGGGGGGCGTCTGAGGG